TTTAGGGGACAGTGGCTGTTTTTCTTCTTTCCATTCTGTTGACTTCAGTCTTGTAGCATGAGATAACAAGATTTAATATAATTCTATTTTGGCAGAAATTCCATATGAAGGATAGGAAGTCCAAGTTAGTCCCAGGAGTCCTAGAGGTTATTAAGTTGGAAGTATCTGCATAGATGGTATTCATGTTGAATTAAGTCACAGCACTCACATCTTTAAGTATGAAGATATTATGTCAATTTAAACTATAAATAATAAAGGGGTGAAAATTTACAGCCTCGGGATAATATTAAAACTGGTGGACTCTGAAAAAGTTCCATGCTGGGGTTAATACTATTATATCATGTCGTTTTCCTTGTTGATTTGTACAAGGTTTTATGAGATGTTATCATTGGTGGATGCTGAGTGAGGTGCACACAGACCTTTTGAGTAGTCTTTTTGCCACTCCATGTGTATATTAAACTATTCTGAAGTAGAAATTTTTTTAATAGTTTTTAAATAGCAGAATGGTAAATATAGTGAGATAATGAGGCATACCAAAGGGAAAACTTCCTGGGGTGGGACTCTGTAGACTTTCACTGAACTGTTACAATTTCATTTAGGTGCAGTACAGAATGTGTGCTGTTAATAGATTAGAGTGCAAGAGAATGAAGTTAGGGATTCACAGATTGTTGCTAGTCTTGCAGGTTTCCAGCTTAGTTTTCACTTCTCACTTTCCTATCTTTTCAGATGTGACTTTCCAGCCCACACCTGCTCTGACATACCGTACCACAGGTGGAATTCTGGATTTTTATGTGTTCATGGGGCCAACTCCAGAGCTTGTCACTCAACAGTACACRGAGGTAGGATGAAATTCAACTGATCATTAAGTATTTATATGGCACTTTCCATGTTCTCAAATACTCATTCATTATTAAAACTCACTCTGACAAGTAGACCTGGGCTCTAAGGTTTTTCTTAGAGCCAGGTATAGTATATAATAAGAAGCTATAAGTACCTTCCAATAACCATTAAATTATAGCCTAATATTTCCACATTAGGTAAAGTAGACACTGCACCTGAGGTAATGCTGAGCCTAGTGGTGTGAAGTGGTGATGGAGAGGATAAGATCCCAGTGCTGATAGTTGTGGTAGTGGTATTGGTAAGAGTGGTTGTGGAATGTTTATAGTGGAGAAATGACCATATGTGTGAGGATTGTAGTAGTGGTGATGAAGGAAGTAATGATGGTRAGGGTWATGGTGGGAGTGTTCGTGGTATGAGTGGTGGTGATAGAGATGATAACAGTKGTRATGGTCRTSTGYTGTTGGTTAAAGTGGTGGGGATGGTAGTTATGAGCATGTTGGGTATGTTGATGATGGTGATGGTGTGGTGATAGGGAAGATGATGGGGTGWAAATGCTGGGGATTGTGTGGGTGGTGATGGTGATGGGGTGATGATAGTGAAGATGGGGGACTGATGTGRTGGTAATGGAGGTAATATTTGGGACTGTTGAAGACAGTAGTCATTTTGTGATAATAAAACCAAATTCTGTCACTTATCAAACTCTTACTGCATTTTAGACTATTTACATGTATTAAGTCATTAAGTCCTAATCAAAACAGTGTGGGAAAGACATTACGATTATGTTTAATTTACCAGTGAAGGATTGAAACATGAAGAGATTACTTAATTTTGTTCAAGGTCACAGAACCAGGAGGACATGAGCCTGTGTGTTAACCCAGGCACTTTCCCTCTGGGATCTGTTCTCTTCAGCAATAATCTAGGCTACCTCTAGGAATGAGAGTAAATTTAGATTGTACAGAATTCCAAGAGAATGAGCTTTAGTCTAGAATGAAGCTTTCTCAAGGTATCCCAGTAGTTTTATATCTGCTGAGCTTTTCTCTGGATTTGAATATGTTGAATGTATATCTTGTGGCACTAGAAAAATATTATTTGGTGTACAACTACATTTGAGTCACTCCTAAGAGAAGTAATATTTCTGTCTATATTCTAGGTGATTGGCCGACCTGTGATGGTACCTTACTGGTCTCTGGGGTTCCAGCTGTGTCGATATGGATATGAGAATGATTCTGAGATTTCCAGCTTATATGATGAGATGGTGGCTGCCCAGATCCCCTATGTATGTCTCAGTATTGGTGCACTGGCTCTATAAGCTCATAGCCAACACATGCTTCTCTGTGTCTGGATTTATTTGTTGGTTTTTATGAGATTCAGGAAAAGCACAAAAGTTTTTTCTTACATGATAACACATTGAGTTCCATCCTGATAGTAATTCAGGTGGGGCCTAGCTTCCATATTATAGCATTGTAGACTCAGTGACTCAGAATGAGAAGATAGGGCAGGGTCCAGAACCTTTCTCCTATACTATGCTTCCTTCCATTTATTTTATTGATTTTTAGAAATTTGGTCTAGAAAGTCTTTGGTACCATGAGATGAAACTTCCCTCAAGAATAATAGTAGTAATTTAAAAAAGTAGCCCAAATTCAATGATTATGTATTGATGAATTCCAATATTTTTGTACAGCAAACATTATTTTATCAGCCCTGAGCTACTCCCTGGCTGAATAAAGGACTTCTAGATATGTTTTCAAAGGAAATATACATGGTAATAAACTCTTATCATTTATTTGAGGAGAAGCAGTATTGAATAATTATAACTGATCCTGCAGAGCAGTATCAAATTGAATTTTGTTGTACTCACTATTCAATTATTAACAATTGTTCCATTAATGGGAAGTACATCATGCAATGTACCATATTCTTATAAGACAACTATTTCTAATTACCTCTGGGATTGAATTCCTACAGTAATTATGAGATTTGTTTTTATTTTTTTGTTTTTCTTATTTTGTAGCCAACTTACCATCCAGATTGTATTACAACTGAGTAGCTAACTTGTCTTTCTGCTGAATATGAACTGTTTTTATCAGGGGCAACACTGGGGAAGGGAATGCAATCAATTCTTATGATGGCCATTAACAAAGTAATTTCCCTACTAGGGATTTTACATGTTCTCACAATAGCCATTAAATAGAGGCTTTATCATCCTATTTTTACAGATTTATATTATATCTCTAGTGTGAGTAAAATTTTGAAAAATGTACTGCATTCTTAATTTTTGCAGTACATAGATGAATTTTCCTGTTTACATACTGAAAGAGCTAGAATTTGCAAGAGTCAAAAGAAGCCATTTGAATTCACCATCAGGAGGGGAGAGTGGTTCTCCTCTGGGAGCTGGACTTTCAGCACCAGCAGCCACTGTTTCCTTGTGTCCTCCACCAGGATGTGCAGTACTCAGACATTGACTACATGGAGCGCCAGCTGGACTTTACCCTCAGCCCCAAGTTTGCTGGGTTTCCAGCCCTGATCA